CAAAATTGCAAACCTTCTCATACAATTTTTGCAGGGAAAAATTGCAAACATTCTCTTGACACACAACTACCTAAGTCCCTAATATACCCAAAGACTAGTATTGTTGTGATGAGTAGACCCAAACTATCACCCCTTATTTATAATAGTAGTCTACCACTTTCCTTCTTCAAACTACCTGACTTTAGAGGATACCTACACATTTTGGGCACAACATATCCTCCCTTCATCCAAAGTCTCACATTAATCCATTATTATGACAGACCACATTTAGAGAAGGAATATTGTTCTTTTCCTTTATGCATTTTAAGTCCTCCTTGAATTCTGGACATTTGACTTGAACGTGACCAAACTCTCCACAGTAATGACATTGAACAGTACTCAAATCTCTCGGCTAGAATCTTCTACCATGTTGATCATCATACTTCTTCTTTCCTCGCTCGCTTTTAGCTAGCAGTATCTGACTGTCTTCAGAGAATTTATCATCATCCATCATTTGTTGACTCTCCTTCAACGTCCTTATCACCTCATCTAGTAACAATGTACTCTTCCCAGCTAGCAATGATTGCACTAGTGATTTATAAGATTTGGGTAAAGAAGCCAATAACAGCAATGTCTGCTCTTCATCTTTGATAGTCTCCTCTGCATTCATCAATCTAGATACTAACTCATTAAACTTATTAATATGATCAAACACATTACCTTCATCTTCCATCTTTAGCGAGTATAAATCCATTTTCATCATCAATCGATTGGTCAACGTCGTTGATGCAAACTTGCTTTCCAACAAATCCTACAACTTCCTTGGAGAAGTTTTTTCAACACAGTCACTTTGATTTGTGGAGCTAGTGTCAATTGAATTATGTTCACGACCTTTTTTTTGGATTGTACTTCATTCTAAATCTTTCATCTCACTTGGCTTTTCTTCTTCTAAGACACAATTGAGACTCTGTTAGACTAAATAGTCCTGGATTGTGCATTATCATAAGGAGAAGTCTATCCTCCCATCAAACAAAGGAACATCTAACTTCATTATAGTCATAGCACCACACTGCTCTAGCCCACATACTACTTCTTTTCCTCCCTGACACACTACTTTTCCTCCCTTGGACAAAACCTCAATTCTTTTCTGATGTAGAAGATCAGACAATGCTGCAACGATAGAGCATACTAACAATTGAGAATCCCACAGAGCCCCACTACACCAACCGCTCTGATACCACTGTTGGGTATCAGAGGGAAAAGAAATTTTCATTTGCGGAAACACACACACAAGAGAGAAGCAAAGATAGAAAAAACAAACTCAACAACTTTTCATTTCTCAACCTACATTCACTAACACACTCAACAACTTTTCATTTCTCAACCTACATTCACTAACACACTCAACAACTTTTCATTTCTCAACCTGCAATTTTTACAAGGACAAAATTACAAACCCTATCATACAATTTTTGCACAAAAAAATTACAAACCCTCTCTTGACACACAACTACCCAAGTCCCCAATACACCCAAAGACTAGTATTGTTGTGGTGAGTAGACCCAAACTATCACCCCTTATTTATAGTAGTATACTACTTCTCTTCTTCAAACTACCTGATATGAGACTTTGGAGGATACCCACACAATTTGGGCACAACAAATAAGCCTTTAAGGCTTAATACTGTATTGCAATAGATACGTTCTTTTTCTCTAGGCTTTACTATGTGAGCAAACCAACATGTTTCATATATATTAAACTATAACAATTTATATTGGCTCGGAGCTAATTGATAAAATATAAAGTATGTAGTAAAAGTTTTGGCAAACAATGTTGGCTACACCTCCTCGAGATATTTGTAGCTTACCTTAGCTATAGTATACTTTTAGATGAGTTGCATTTCAAGCTTGAGGTATCATTATTTATGATAATTCTAATAGTTTGTATCCTCCATTTTGAAATGATTCTACTACTCAATATGGATCATCCTACAAACATCACGTAATGAGCTGGAGAGCATGAAGATGAGGAGTCAAAGGGAGTCTCCTAGTACATAACGCGTGTTGAGATCATGGTGATCCAGCTTAATCAGAATGGAGAAACATTCTCATATGTTCGTGTGATAGGGAAGATCTCAAGGTTATTAACAAATGATTTTGAAAATGTTGTGTGTGCTATAGAAAGAATCAAAGAACCTGTCCAAGCTCTTTGTACAAAAGCTTGTTAATTCTCTTGAGACCCATGAACAGAGGAAGAAGAAAGAAAAGAAAGCAGTAGCGCTTAAGAGTAAGACAACTGCAAGAGAAGAGAAAACTCTCTACTCTCAAAATATGTGTGGTAAAGGACAAAGATGAGGTAGTCAAAGTCAAGGAGGTAAAAGTTGCAAACAGAGTAGTGGTGAGAAGGATTATAACCAATAAAACTGACATGGTAATGGACATGGTCGGAAAGGTCAATCAGTGACTCATAATGTTGAATATTATAAATGAAGCAAGTATGATCCCTATGTGAAGGACTATTACTTGGAAAAATGGTACAACTATGGAAAGGTAAGGTATTTTGAAAAAAATTTCGAGCTAAGGAAAGGGTGGAAGAAACCAACCTCGTAGAGAAGGTAGAAGGAATAGTCTTGATGGTTTATCATAACTCAACAAGTAGCAAGAATGATATTCGAGAAAATACTGCGTTATAATTTGTATGTTATTTCGATACAGGTGTGCATAATCATGTGTGGAGATGAACATTTGTTCAAAGATTTAAAGAAAGTAGAGTTTAGGTATGTATCTTTTGGAGACGTCTCAAAGGTATCGATAAAAGGTCGAGGTATCATCCGTTATTTGCAAAAGGATGACCTAGTTGGGTTAATTCAATATGTATATTATGTTCCAGAACTCAAAAGTAATATTTTGAGTATGAGACAATTGATGGAGAGGGATTACTTAATTTTGATGAAGGACAAGATTGAGAGGTTGATTACTCAAGTTGAGATGGGAAAAAATAAAATGTACAAGTTGCAGCTAAAAAATATTCGAGAGTATAACGTTGACATGACATTATCAATTCAGTCACCTACATTTTGGTGGCCTAGTCGAACTATCGAAAAAAACATGGTGATCAATTTTTCGAAGTTTGAGTGTGTTAAGGAGGTAGTTCGAGATGAAAAGTGACAAGCTATTTTAGGTGACGAAATCCAAGCAATAGAATGGAACTATAAATGGTTGATTATGCATATGCACGTGAAGTCAACATTTTTTAATGGTGTACGTAAAGAAGTATATGTTGAACAACCACCTAGATACATAAAGAAGGGAGAGGAGATGAAAGTGTTAAAGCTGAAAAAGGCCCTTTATGGGCTAAAGTAAGCTCTTGGGCATGAAGTGATCGAATAAATGCCTACTTCATGGAGAATGAGATTGAGTAGTGCCCTTTTAAACATGCCCTATATGTAAAGAAAAATAGAGATAATGTATTTTTTTGTTGCTCTCTATGTTGATGATCTTATTTTCATGAGAAATGATCCTTCTTTGATTCAAGATTTCAAAGGCACTATGGCAAGAGAGTTTGAGATTACTAATTTGGGAATGATGAAGTTCTTCCTTGGCCTGGAAATAAGACAAGAGGAGTTAAGGATTTTTGTGTCTCAAGAGGCGTAAGCAAAAGAGATCTGAATATATCCAAGATGATCAGTTGTAATCTGATCTCAACCCCATGAAATCAGGAACAAAACTTTCAAAGTATGATGGGGGAGACTAAGTTGACCCGAATAGGTATCAAAGCCTTGTGGAAATATTTGTTACCTTATAAGTACGAGACTCAATATGTTATATATGGTAAGTCATTTCATGGAGGAGTTAAAATATTCACACATTTAAACAAATATTGAAGTACATCCGAAGAACAATGTGACTCAGACTACAATATATAAGCTTGGAAGATTGTCAACTTGTTGGATACTTAGATAGTGATTGGTGTATAGATGTGAATAATAAAACAAGTACATTAGGGCATGTATTTTTCATGGGAACCACAACCTTCACTTAATTGTCAAAGAAATAGTCATAATGACACTATCTATATGTGAAGTCGACTATGTAGCAACATTGTCGAGTGTGTGTCATGTTGTCTGACTCAGGATTTTGCCGAGCTCATTGTACGAGAAGTAACTCAGTGCGACAATGATCTGAATGGACAATAAGTCAATTATTGGATTGGCAAGGAACCCAATTACTCACGAAATGAGTTAACACGTTTATATGCGTTTTCATTTTGTTTGAGAACACGTGAAAGAAAGAGATACAGAGTTATTGCATGTGGCAGCCCAAGACATATTCACAAAACTATTATCAACAGTGTTATTCTAGAATTATAAGAAGCATATAGAAATAAAATACAATAAAAGCTCCTAGGTTGGTTAGATTAATTTTAAACGGATTTCAACTAGAAGAAAAAAAGAGTTTAAATTTATGAGAGAGTTTTGTTAAATAAATTTAAACATTTAAACCTGCATAAATAATTAAAATGATTAGTATAACTAAATAATTATTAAAAAATTATTTTTTATTGAGGATGCAATGATTAAAAGATAGATTCGTATTTTTAAATAATTATAGGATTACACATATGAAAAAAATATTTAGATCTAAAATTCTTTATTTTTATATCAAATTTTTTTATTTTTAATAATAAATCTTAATAATACGAGAGATAAATAATATATTATTAATAAATAATAAAAAAAATAAAAAATATAATAATTATAAGATAGATTCGTGTTTTTAAATAATTATAGAATTACATATATGAATAAAAAGTATAATTATTTAAATTTAAAATTCATTATTTTTTTTATTAACTATTTTTTATTTCAGTAATACATTTTATTAATAATATATTATTAATAAATAATAAATATAAAAAGATAAAAAATATATAAGGATGAGAATTTGAATTTGTAAATATATAATAAAAATTAATGAAATTTCAACCGCAACTCTTAATTAACCTCTATGTTGTTCCTCCAGGAGGTGCGCCCGCACCTCTGCCCAACAAACAGCTCCACGCTGCCGTTGCCGCCGCCATCGCCAGCCCCCCGCTTTCCTCCTTAACACCCTTCTTCACCTGCTTCTATCCCTTCAACGTGCACAAACTGTTCCATTTCTTCCTCCAATTGCAAGAACACACTCTCCGCTGGACAGGGTCACACTAACTTGCATCCTCAGCGCGTGTTTTGAGGATGACAACCTCCTGCCTCAGTCTTGTGGGTCAGACAAGAAGGGTGTTTTGAGAAGATTGAGAAACTAATCCAAAAATTTACATGATGAATCCATCCAAAACCTATTTGAGGAATCATTATTCCCGATACTTTAACATGGATCTATCATTTTGGACTTCCGTATTTACCTTTAAACTTCAAAAATCTTTTTTTATAGTTTAATTGATAAAAAATATATCATGTATTTCGAATTAACTTATCCCAATTTTTTTGGATTCATAAATTCGAGATATTCTAAATTATTTTTTTAATAATTTATTCAAATACAGAAAGATAATATTATGATAAATATGGAAGTATAGAATGAAATTATGAATATAGAGGATTATATTTTAATAATTAGAAAAGTATACTAAAATAAAATTATGAGATGTAAGAAGAATCAATCTTACATTTGTGCGTTTGTTAATACAAAAAAGACATTAAAACTCCAATAGAATATAATATAATATTAAATTATCCACAAAAATAAAAAATAATCGATATGGAATATTAACAAAAGTTCTCTCTTATCTATCCCATGAGATATTGTAAAATATAACAAATTTCATACCTTTTATCAAAATTAAAAAAATCATTTTAATTCAATCATTGTGTACAATAAGCCTATTATATTTTATATATTTTTTAATAATTATATACACGCAATAATTTCTTATTAATTTACAGCATATTTTTTTAATAATATATAAATGTTGAACTCAAAATTAGAGTGATGCTATATCACTATTTCTTTATTGAAATATTGTGATGGTTTATTATTAATTTTTTAAAAGGATTTTATTTATTTATTTAAATAAGAAACAAAGTTAATTCGCATGCCTTTTAATCTGAACTATTTACTTATTGGACAGTCCTTTTCAGATGATTATAAATAAATATTAGATCTTTAATGGTTTGTAAAGTAAGATTCATTTATATCTCTAACAAATATAAAATTTTAATATATCTTTAACCAGTAATATAAATGATATAATAAGTCCAATATATTTAGAATAAACTTTAATATCATATTAAATTGTGATATTGTATATACATTCTATTTATATTACGATTTAACTATATTTAGAATTCATGTTTCAACACTTATATCAGACTTGTCCCAGCTAATATGTCGCATGAGAAAAGCAATCCACACGTATGTCATCTATCACAAAAATAGGATTTATTGAGTATCTTGTACAACCTCGAAAAGTCATTCTCATCATCACCCCATTCTCTTTTTTTCTGAAACCAGTGTCTCAGTTCTTTTCTACTTCTATCACACTCATTCTTTCTCCCATCTACATCCCCAAATTATTTATCATCGCACGTGACTTCCACGTGATCTCGATCCATGTTTTCTTCTCGCTTAGCCTCCTCTCCTAGATATCACTAAATCCTTCTTCCCCAACAATTCTTTAAACTACAATCCACAATCGTCAAGTGAGACCGAAATTGGCACAAATTTACACATCACATGCACTAACCATTGAAGTTCATTATTCTAAGATGTGGATTACATACTGGTAGCAATTAATTTATGACAAACATGTAAGTTATGGCAGAGTGAAAATATGATTGAGTAATGGTTATTGTGAAGTTGAGTCAACAGGTGGGAACATAAGGCTTGTTGAGACTGGGGCCAATATCGGGTTGTGGGCTTGGTGGATATTGGCAAATGCATGTGCTATTCAATGACTTTGTTCATACCATTTTTTATCCATCTCTTGGAAGCTTGTGCCGATATATTGGACCAACCGACCATTTCCCATTCATTACACACACTATTTTATTCATCAATTTCATACAACATTGCTCATTTGTACCATTGTTACTCTCTCATCCATCATGCATTCATATATACGCTTCCGTGGGGTCTTCATCTTTTCACGCCGTTCACTCTCTTGATTTTTTCTTCCACCAAGTTACGACCATCATAAATCATAAACAAGTTACTTAGTCCAGCCATGGCATTCACGTTATTTCAATTACAATAATGGATTCTCCAAAAACAATTTGACAATATAATAATAGATGAATATCTTCTTTTTAGGAAACATTGGGAACAAGGGTGCATGGTCAACGATCGCATCCACCCCATAAAAAAACGCCACCTGGAGTGGGACCCACTGGAATTAATAATTTAAAAATTAGACCTAAATTCGCTAGGTTTAATCGATGCCGTGAGAAAACCGCGACATCATAGCTAGTCAAAGTTAGGTGAACATCGTGTATGTACGTGTCTCGGGTCAACCAGCCTCAAAAACATTTTGAATTTTTCAAAGGAAAAGCGGTTGAAAATTCATAGAAAAAATTAAGAAGAAAAGTAAATAAACGTGGACTTTTGCCAATGCTTTTAGAAAACCATGGGACCACAAAGCATTGAAACCAATAGTAGTTCTCTTTGATAACAATAAAACCTGCATGCAATATAAAGTGTGTCATAATAACATTAATATCAATACAGTAGTAGTACAAGTATTAAAATTCAACTCAAGCATTGAATGCAGAGAGTTGAAGTTGGAATTTTGAATTCTCAGATAAAAGTTGAATCGTCTGAATTTTCGTATCTTTTTGCTTCTATTGCTTGCTGTGAAATAGATATTCCGTAAATTTACTTGGTCAGAGTTTGGTAAAACGACAAAGAGGATAGAACAAAGGTGTAAATTGTAATATTTGAAATTGGGTGAATGGGCGTATATAAGGTTGAAACGCGATTAAAGTTTGTGAATGTATAAAGAAGGAACAAACAAAGCCGTTACGACGACGTTCTGCTTTTTCTGCGCGTTCAACCAATAAACTAAGGAGAATTCTACTGTCACAGTCTTACAGGTCTGCCAGTACTGAATCCCAAACAGCCATTCCTTGTTTGGTAGCTGTTGTCTTTCGCATCCACATTTTGAATTCTCTCTCTCCCTCCCACATCACACGCCAAACACCCTCTTAAAAACTCACTCAACTCCCTCGCTATTCAAAATCGAATTCAACCCTTCTTGTTTTTGTTTTTTTTTTTTCTTCTCATTCCCTCTGCGCGCTTTCGCTTTCGTTCTCATTGCTCTCTATTAACGCAGTCTGCAACAACTCACCTTCCGTCCAGGTTTTGCAGCGAAGAGAAATGTCGGTGAGTTCGAGTTCCAGAGGAAGGATAACGACGGAGCTTCAAGTCCCGAAGAAATGGACTGACAGAGAAACGAGTCCAGAGAGAACCAAGGTTTGGGCCGAGCCCAAGCCCAAAACGGCCAGAAAAGTCTCCGTCGTTTACTACCTTTCCCGAAATGGCCAACTCGAACACCCTCATTTCATGGAGGTTCCTCTCTCTTCACCTCAAGGACTTTACCTCAAGGACGTAATCAACCGCTTGAACGTTCTCCGAGGGAAAGGAATGACCACAATGTACTCTTGGTCCGCCAAACGGTACCGTTTTAAACTTTTCTTTACACTAATTCAAATTCCTTTTTATTTTTTATTTTTTTAACGGTGGTGTGGTGGTTCAGGAGCTACAAAAACGGCTTCGTTTGGCACGATTTGTCGGAGAACGATTTCATCTACCCGACGCAGGGGCAGGATTACATTCTCAAAGGATCGGAGATTGTTGAGCACAGTGTCTCCGGCGGCGAGAGAGTTAGCAAAACGGAGGAAGAGTCCGATTCGCCGGTGGTGATCCCGAGGCGGCGGAACCAGTCGTGGAGTTCTATCGATTTGAATGAGTACCGAGTTTATAAATCCGAATCGTTCGGTGACTCGGCTGTGAGAATCGGATCCGACGCGGCGACTCAGACGGAAGATAAGCGGAGGCGGAGGAGGGCGGCGAGGGAGGAAGAGGCGGTAGAGATTCAAGAGAAGAATGATGGAATTGACGCGGGAATGGAGGGGGAAAGGGTCTCGCACGTGACTTGTGATAATAACAATAATCAGTCAACGGAGCTGAGTAGGGACGAGATCTCGCCTCCACCGTCGGATTCGAGCCCTGAGACGCTGGAGACGCTGATGAAAGCAGATGGACGGCTTGGATTGCGGTCTTCGGAATTGGAGAAGGAGAATCTGACGGTGGAGAGCTGTCCTAGTGGGAGGATGAGAGCCTCGTCGGTTTTGTTGCAGTTATTATCGTGCGGCGCAGTGTCTTTTAAGGAGTGTGGGGTTAGCACCGTGAAAGATCAAGGGTTCTCGTTGGTTGGCCACTACAAGTCCAGGATGCCCCGCGGAGCACGCAATCATTCAGGAAAAGATACAGGGATGTCGATGGAAATACCGGATTTGAACAGGGCAAGGTTGGAAGATAAAGAGTATTTTAGTGGGAGCTTGATCGAAACCAAGAAAGTGGAAACCCCTGCTTTGAAAAGGTCCTCTTCTTACACTGCAGATAGGTATGTTACGCTTTTGCTTTCAAATAATCAAACCTCTTTATGTAAATAACTCTAGTGAATTAACCAGGTGATTTTCTTGCTTCTGCGATAACTATGCACCATGTTTTGCTGAAATAATTAATGGACAATTATGGTTAATGAGTATGTATTAATTTCTATTAGAAGAATTGTATTTAAACTATTTATTATTTATGTCATCTAATATCATGTTTTATTTTTTTATTTATCGATTTCTACATTTATTTACATAGCCATTGTTTAAAGGTGACTTTTATAAATTCCATGCTCCTGCATGTACCTTGTAATATGTTGGAGAATGTGGGCATTGGCATTCATACAATTTCTGCTCCATAGGTTAAGTAAAAAGTTGTCGTTAAGCATGTGTTCATTCTAGGACATAGAAAGCATCTTGAGATTGAAGACATTTAAAATAATGCTATCGAGTCGAACTCGTAGGTCAGATTTTGTTAGTCGAGTTGAAAACGAAAGCATATTATTATACAATTTGTTGGTCAGAATATTATAATGGAGACCTAACTTTTCTTCTCAGTGAATATTCTATTTTCTTTGTTTATTTCTTATTATATCATTTACTATCTATCAATTTCTCTATCCTTTTTTATTCTCTTTATCTGTGATTCTTCCGTTCATACACCCTAACTCTCTGCTTAGAGTTAGCAAGAGAAAAAAAAAAGTTTGAAATTTGAATTGAAAAGCAAAGAAAAAACTCTTTTTTTTTTCTTTTCTTTTCTGAAAGTTAACTTTTTAACCCTTTGTTTTTTTTCTCTTAAAAAAACAGTTCATTAACTTATTTATTTTCTTTTCTCCCTGTCGTATACATCATGATAAATTGTTTCTTTAATAATCTGAGTTCTTGATTAAAGGATCAAGAACCAATCTTTTGTTCGTCTGTCATAATAAATACACATCTAACATTTTTTCTTATACAATGTTATTTAATGTCAGCAGTTTTACATAAAATTTTATTTGGTAAGCATTAAGATTATGTGGGCTCGTGTCACGTAATCATAATACTTAGTAAGCATGTAACATTAGTAGTTATTTAAGAAAATCTGAATTAAACTACATATCTCAGGATTCAAATATTTTAGATCTAATGTATTATTGTCAGAATATGGTAGGGTTTTAACTTCCTCTGTCTCCGGATGTTGTCCATGCTTACTTCTTCATCATGCAGCCTCGGCTTATTTCTAGCGGAAAATGAAAGCCTGACTAGTCATGCTTAAACCTTTCTAAGATATTGCTCCAAGTATCATTTGATTTAACTATTGTTTGCGAAAAATGTTCAATTTAGACAAATAAGTAGCTAGTGTAATTGGATTTGTACCGTCACGATAAGATGTTGATGCTTGACAGTGGCGTGTCTGTCTTGTTCCATCTTGTACCTGTACACCTCTTAAATTTTAGTTAATGATGCAATTAGTCATCCGGTTATTTTGTTTTGGCCCCATTTAGTATTTGTCAGCTTCTGCATGTGGGGTCTAATTTAAAGCATCCAAAGAGTTGATCATTAATTAACTTGCCAGTTTGTCACCTATAATTATACTAGTAGTACGAAATCAGCTACCACTGGGTGCATCGGGTAAAAGAGGAATTTCTGTTGGGGCAGTGAGTACGTCGATACTGTTTATTCTATCATTAATCATCCATGAAATCGAAATTAGGTATGTTATTTAAGTACATAACAATATTTTTCCATTGTATAGCAATTAAAATATTTCTCATGATGGGGCAAAAGACTGCTAGATGACATGATTAAAAGTTGCCTTTATGATTATGACACCGGCATCAATAATGTGGTTTTGTGTATGGTCTCTCTGTTACTTGTAGTGGTTCCCGGTTACAAATAGTGGAGCATGAAGGAGAAGTAGTGCGGGCAAAGTGCATACCAAGGAAATCTAAGACAGTACCAACAAAGAAAGAAGAGGTTGCTTCAATGCACATTGCTAGCGGTGGCCAACATGGGAGCAAAAGATTTGAAAATAATAATTGATAATTTGAATGAATGTAAAGCGTAAGGAAACCTTGCCAAAGGAGGTTTTGTAGTCTAGTAGCTGGAATGGAGAAGAGAACAAAAGCATAGATGTGTGAGGTTAGAAGGAGCAGTTTGGATGAATGTATAAATATGGAAGCAGATAGGACCAGTACTAATCCAGTAGGTGACAGTATAGTGTGGTCTAGTGGCAATTTACAAGTCACAGCACTGTGTGCAGATATGTCGAGGGAGGGTTGGCTATGGGAAGAAAATACTAGATTTGTAGACCTTGTCCGTTTTGATGTTTAGGTTTTGGCCTAAAGTCAGAATATGTAAGGGTTGGCTATATGTTTTCATTCCTGGTGGTATATGGGGTCTTGTTGGCGGTGGCAAATGTCTTTTTTTGGTAAATACTTGTCTTTTTTTTCGTATTTTACTTTTTATCATGCTTCGTTAAAGCTAAATATCTCACCACGTGAGTAGTTTGGCTTGTTCAGTACATGGTAGGGATTTAACAGAGTAAAGGAAAATGAATCATGAACCCCCATATAAAGCTCTCTACACTTGGAAGAAAAAGATAAAAATAAGTAAGAGTTGTGCAATAGATATCTTTCAAGGGTGTACGTGAATCACCGAGAGTAAACGAAAATCGTCTCTTAGTTTGATTAACAGATATGAGTGAGAAAGGATTTTACCCTTCCTTTATTTGGTTTGTAAAGAGAAATAAAGAAAGGAAAAAAAGCAACTATACTTTACACCTTTTTGACATAAAAACAGTAGACAAAATAGTTTTTAACGAGTTATATAAGATGACAAACTTTGTCTACTTGTCCACGTCACTTTTACTCCGAAAGCACACAATCATTCGTTCATATAATTTTCATATATAAGCATCATGAAAAGCAACCATGGTCACAATTTTAGCATAATAAAAAACTAACATATAAATAACTAATATTTACATTAAAAAAAATAAATTACAAAATCACATCTTGCATTTTAAAAACCTCTTAATCCTAAATCCTAATCCCTTAAACTAATTAAATGATATGTTAAGCAAACTGGATTAAAAATAATCTAATCAAAATTGAAACTGGATTAACATGTTTCTGTTTTGCACTTCTATATTTACCTAAAATAACTTGCACAAAAGATGTATTCAGCAAATTACAAAAGATATATTCAGCAAATTTATAGGAACATTATTCCGAAACCAAATAACTCCTCCTATTAATTAATCCGAAACTAAAATCTTACTGTTTCAATTTTTTTTAAAACGTGTATTTCAACTCAGTGATACACTCGTCTTAAAATACATATTTAATACTATTAAGTAAAACATATTTAAAAGATTAGATATGAAGATGTCCATAAGTTGAGCGTTTAGATTTTTCAACATTATAAAGCTATAGTAAGAATTAAGGAGTGAAAAAAAAAGTAAGATATGAATTTCTTTTCTAAAATAATATAAAAAATAATTATTTATGAAAATAGAGCAAACCCAACATTATTTATCCAAATAAAGTTTTTACTGTACAAGATTTGATTCTGAATAATCCAATATTAAATAAAAAAAAAACACAATCAATATTTGATTTAAGGACTAAATTTTGAATTATAATTTTGTTTTGTTATTTTTTGACATTATATATTTATTGTATATAAATTTATATAATATATAAATATATATATATATATATATATATATATAATTGTGTTTACCCAAAAAAATAACAAAAATAATATAAATTTATTGTAAGTCAATCAGTTTTGATCACAAACCGTCACAATCTAGTTTGAGTTGTGCTGATCAAGTCTGAGCTTTACTGAATAGGAAAATGGGGAGGTCCACTTGCAAAGACACTCATGTTTAAGTCGGTTGATAAATATTTTTAGAGATATATACCTATTTTTACCAATATTATTTTAAGTAATAAATAATATGCCTTTAATATGATATTGAATGAAAAATTATTTATAATTATTATTATAATGAGTATTTAATTGGCCTTTATTATAATTAATTATTTTAAGGGAATATTTTGGTTAAGATAATAATTGAATATTTTTCTTGTATTATATATATATATATATATATATATATAAATAAAAGAAAGACATCTTTATATAATTATATATTTATACATTTAATAAATATATATGATATTTATAGTAAATATAATATTTGTATTACAAATTATTTTATTTAATTTTTTTATAATATAAAATAGAATTGGTATAAATATTTTGTTAAAATGATAGATATTTAAATTGATGAAAAAAATATTAAAATATTATAGATTAAAGGTGCAAAATACATGCTAAAGGTACCTTAACTAAATTAAAAGTAATACATTATAAGGAGTAATTGGAAAATCATCTTATAATTCGTAAACCAAACGTGGACCTTGTTATCTCATGTTTGCCAATATATGTGTTATCTTTTAAGTCACGAATCATCTCTTCAGGTATTGGCCTTCGTATAATTTTAATTTGAATAAATAATTCAATCTTTTCCATGTTTGTTCGCGTTACATATTTGGGTATAGAAAAAAAAATTCGAATAGTTGATCATTTGGGTCATATCAACATTAGTTTTAGTAATCTTGTTTGTGGTATCCATAGTCAAGTACTTTAGTAGTTTTTTCAAATAGTTGAGAAAAAAACCATGAAGGTTGGATTACCATTGTTTTAGGATTACAATATGTATAAATAAGACCAAAACTATTTGAATTTTTCATGATGGTTGCACATCAAACAAAACCACCAAAGTAAATTATAGTTTTAGATAAAGAGATATTGTTTTAGTTTATAGAAGAGGTAGAAGTAGGTGGGTTTATCGTGAACAGTATAATTTATTGACCTTGGACAATGTAGATTAAATCTCGATTATTGATGTTTTGAAATATAATTGTGATCATTACTTTTTGTTGACAAGTTGGGTATCGTGCTAAGTGTGTGGTACAAAAGAATCTTATCGTGAACAGTATAATTTCTATTTTTACTTGATTCTTAGGCAATGAGAACTTAATGGACGCATATAAGAAGTTTTCATTCTCAACAAACAAGGCATTGAAAATGTTATGCGAAGAAATTTGTTCATTAAGTTGATTACAGTGTTATTAAAAAACTTGTGGTCATAGTTGTTTAATTGTTAATATTAAATAATTAGATATAAATATTTAATGCAATAGTTAGTTTTTTTTTTCTAAGTTTTAAATAAGTTATAAAGTTATACATTGAAAAAATTATTTATCAGTGAAGTTCCTGTCTAACTTATTAAACAAATTTAATTAGTCAAGTACATATTCATTACAAAAATTTTAAACTAGTCTCCGTAATTTTAGACAATTCTACATCGAGGACATCCTCTATTATGTCCTGGATTTCTTCGTGGTTGTTCTTTTTCGTGTGGTTCTTCTTTGGGTGCTTTAGTATTGAATGTGGAAGGAAGGCAGAGGATCTACTTTCTTTGTTATCATAATGTGTTGTGTACATTGATTCCATGTAACATGAGATGATGGTGTTGTATGATTTGCTCCGTATAAATTTGACACAAACTCATACAAACTAGATGCAAAAGAATGTCGTCTAGCACCTATTGTTGGTTGTGGTGGAGGTGTCCTACTGACAATACTTGTGGAGGGTTGGTGTGAAGGCATATGAAATGACGAAGTACAAGATGACCTAGTTTCAAATGTGTGTGACTGTTTTCATCTACATTGTTAGTTTCTTGGATCTTGAAGTAGTTTTTAGCAGATACAACAAATAAATAGAATTAACAATATACCATTCCATATATTCTCTTGTGTGATACAAAGATTCTTGCATTGGTAAACCTGTTAGAACATGTTCTCATATGTTGTTCCAAACATTGATGCATTCGACATTTCTTATTTGTCAGTTCTCATTAGCTCTCCCTCACATGTTAATTCTATGAAGATTCTCTAGATTTTGTGGAGGAGAAGGGATTTCTTTAAACAAAACAAACTGTAACTTTACCCTGTCAGATTGATGTCATTCCACAACTACAAAACAAATTATGGTTGTGCAAGACATCCACAATTATGAATCTCAGTATGCTTGTGCTAATGTTGATGTTTCTAACCTTCGATATAGTGTTCACAAAAACTACAGTGAAATTATGAGTATGTAGTTAATAAAAATTAATTAAAAATATATATTTAATAATGAAAGTGTTAGTTAACTTTACCTTATGACCTTGAATGTGCTCAATCATTGCCCAATGAGTCAACAAGATTATTGTGTGGCACATTATGCAAGTTAAAACTCTGCTCCCACTTTGTATTACATACTAGTGGATAGATTGGTTGTACGAGACTAATTGATGCAATGTATGGCATGTGATATCATGCCAATGATTGCAACAATAAGACGCACAACCATCCATTGTTGGTTGCTTAACACATTTCTCTATACAAAAGAGCTAAATACGTAGAACCCAACCTATATTGTTTGGTCCTATGGAAATTAGTCAAAAATGTTAAATATATGAGGTGTGCTTTATTATCTGTTTTGTTTGGCATCAATACACCTCTAATTAAACCTGATATATATGCCCTAACATGGGCATGAAGTTGTTCTTCTTATAGTTCTTCTAGTAGTGATAATATGTTATTTCTTAGCCATTTCAACTTAACCATGGATTCAATGAGCATCTCACCTTTGGTCAACATGACTTCAAGATACATGTCACACATCTATTCTGAGACAAACATTGTGAGCCCAATGATCAGATGACCATCCACTCTTTGCCCAAGTTGCAGTGCAATATCTTCTAATAAGATGGCGCATTTACCAATAGGTAGATGAAATGTATAAGTTTTAGGTCGCCACCACTCCACCAAAGCAATGACTAGACTGTGGTTGACTTTTAAATATCGTAATCTTGTCATGCCTCCATTGAGAGGATGTGTCAATGGATCTTAACTGACAGGTTGTTAGTAACTTGTAAAGTCACTTGGTCCATGTGCACAACAAAGTGCATGTGATTCCTG